GCGGTACAACAGTCGGCTCAACTACCCCCACGTGGCGCCACTGTTAGGTACTCACTCCTTGTGGACATGTTGGAACAGTCTCTTGTTGGTGGTGGTGGGGGTGGTGTTGTTGTTGTTGGTGGTGGTGGTTGTGGTGGTGATGTTAGTGTCGTTGTTGCTTTTGGTGGTGGTGGTGATGTTAGTGTTGTTGTTGTTGTTGTTGGTGGTGGTGGTGTTGTTGTTGTTAGTGGTGGTGGTGTTGGTAATGATGACGTTGTTATTGTTGCTTTTGGTGTTGTTGTAGTTGTTGTTGTTGTTGTTGTTGTTGTTGGGGGTGGTGGCGGTGGTGGTGATGATGTTGTTGTTGTTGTTGTTGTTGTTTTTGTTGTTGTTTTTGTTGTTGTTGCTGCTGTTATTGTTGTCCTCCGCCTTCTTTAACGTGTACATGTATATTACATTATGTATATGTTGCATTACGTTAAGTGCATGTTACTCGTACCACCTCAAATCTTCGGCACGTTGATCTATATATCCTAACTATCTTGCAAGTGCCGTAAAACTGCACTAAAACGTTTATTTAAAAACCAGTATATAGGTATTATCTACAATATTTCTCCTTTATCTCGCCCAGACCAGATCCCGGACCTACTACGGCGTGAGTGTCCTCGCTCCGCCCAGACAGTAGACCCCGTGACCGGCTATCTGCTGCGAGAATACCGCCGGAACTCCCTCGTCATACCCGCCATCTTGTCTGCCCTACAGAAGGACCCAGACGACTCCGCCAACGACGAAACTCAAACTCGTGACGTCAATAGCCCGGAAAAGAAGCCAAAACGTGATGGAAAACGTCCCGGAAGGAATAAATATACCCGAAGTCCTCATCATCGCATGTCAGGAGAAGATGAAGCGGAAGTTGATTTTGAAGAATACGAAGCCGGGAAAGTTACGGGACTTGTTCGTGACATCACCAAACTTCGCACGGAGATGTCGATGAATAAGAAAGTGGACGCCGTTAGGACTCGGGCGTCGTTCAGAGAGTTGCTGCGTGATGTGCAGGAGAGAGAGCGGGCTTCCGGTGAGTCGGACACGTACACAGACGGCACATGCTCACTGCTTCGGCGGAAGATGCACAAGATGAGGCGCTACGACGACCATGACCTTGCTCTGGAAATAGGTTCTCAAGGCTCTCTGCAGCTCAAAGTTCACGCGCCCCCTCAGGGTGTGAAATCGAAACTGCACAGTACGAGTCCCGCCCACTCGTCCCAGAAACTTCCAGCACTCCCGGTGAACAGAAGTCACACAGCATCAGGCGGTCACAGTAGGTATGTCGTGGGTTGTTCGTACCTTAGCCCTATCCGTACGTTGTGTTTTACTATCGTATCCATACGACGTGGGGAACTCTGTGCCACCACTTAACCCTATCCGTACGTCGTGTTTTACTATCGTATCCATACGACATGGGGAACTCTGTGCCACCACTTCACCATATCCACACGTCGTGTTTTACTATCGTATCCATACGACATGGGGAACTCTGTGCCACCACTTAACCATATCCGCACGTCGTGTTTTACTATCGTATCCATACGACATGGGGAACTCTGTGCCTCCACTTAACCATATCCGCACGTCGTGTTTTACTATCGTATCCATACGACGTGGGGAACTCTGTGCCACCACTTAACCCTATCCGTACGTCGTGTTTTACTATCGTATCCATACGACATGGGGAACTCTGTGC